ATGTTTTGGCCCCGTGGGGGTAACGAAGTGGTGCCGAAATTTTCTGATTTTCTCTTACTTAGTATTTTCGGCACACTTCGACCCCATGAGGGTAACGAAATGCTGCCAAAATTTTTGAAAAATCAGATAACCCATTTTTCCCCACCTCCTCACACATTTATTCATTTATTTATTTATTTATTATTTCTTTATTTATTTCCTGAAATTTCTTTTTATTATTTGCGGCATCTCTAGTGTGCTCACCTTGGTCTCTCCTTTTCCCTTGGCACATTCTTGACCCCGTGGGGAGTATGGAAATGCTGCCGAAAATTAAAAAAAAAATAAATAAATAAATAAATAAATAAATAAATAAATATTATTTTCCCTTCCATCCTTTTACTTATTTCTTTAATTAATTTTATTATTTATTTATTTTCTTATTTATTTTTATTTTCTCTCGACATCTCGCTGCTTATTTATTTTTCTCCCGCATTCCCCCCCCCTATGCTTGCTCTTTTACTTTCTTGATTAGGTCACCGGTACCCTACCCTAACCACTTAAACCTCGGTTAGGGTTTTCGTTAGGGTTTTTGTAGGGTTTAGGGTTCCTCAAACCCCCCCTACTTCCTCGTCCTCTTCGGGCACCCTGGACCCGAACCACCCCTCCCCCTTTGACGGCGCCCGTGCTAGCCTTGCTAGCGCCGTTCGCCGCTTTCTACCGCGGACTTCCCCCTACGCCCTCCGCTCACGCGGACCTCTTCTGGCCCCCTCTAGTCTGGTCCGTCATCTTCCCATGGCCGACGGTGCGTCACACGCCACCGACACGGCGATGACCACGGCATCGGGCTCCACACCCGTGCGGGCGGACCAGGGCCATCAGCTCCAAAAGGATCTACACACCCTCCTCACCTCCCTCCTCGCGCCCATCCAGGCGCAGCTCGCGACCCTTGCGCCCATCCAAGCACAACTCGCGGCCCTCGCGCCCTTACAGGCGCAAGTGGCGACCCTTGCCGCCGACATGCAGCAACTCCAGGATGCTGCGTGTCCGTCATCTCTTGGCTCCCAGTCCAGGTCCCCCGTCCTCCGACAGGGTGGCCACGGCGGAGCTTCCTCCTCCGTTGCCCCTGACCCGACCATCTTGGTGACTGTCCACGCCCCTAGCACGACGGCCGCCACGAGCCTGGCCCCCCCTCAGTCTACGGGCGCACCCGCCTAGATCCCGGTCACTACGGCCACGGTACAACAACCCGCTACCATGGTCTCAGCTTTTCCGGGTGCCCCGCTTCTCCCTCCCCTTCGCATGACCGCAGCGCCACCTGGCTCTCTCCCCTCGGGGATGCCCCGCGCCGCTTGTGCGTCCACCCCCTCCACTCTTCCTTCCGCCACCCCTCGATCGACCTACGTTCGAGGTGTCGCGGACGAGATTGTCCAGCTCCGGGCCGACCTCACCCTCTTACGACTTGAGGCACCCCCACCCTCACAGGTAGCCGCGCCTTCGGGCGCACCCCCTACCTCCTCTACCCTTCCTCCCATGCAGGCTCGCTTTCCGCGCCCTGCACCATATACAACTCCTTCCTACCTTCTTCCTACTCCCGCGGTTGCTGCGACCTCTTCTACCGCAGCACCCTCGCAACCTGTTGCTGTTGCCACCGCCGCTCCCCCATTCGGCCCGGGCGCACAGTCGGCTGCGCCCCTTTCCCTAGGACCTGCGCCGACTTACTTAGCCGTGGCACAGGCCTCCGCTCCTCGATCCTCTCGCCGCCAAAACGGTGGTGCACCACTCATCCGCTTGTCGGACATCGCCTTGTATGACGGTACAGGCATACGCGTATCTCGATGGCTGCAGTCTGCCACCCGCACACTCCAGCTCATGGGTGCCACACCCGAGACGTGGGTGGGTCACCTCTCCACGTGCCTGCGTGGCGGTCCTTTCGAGGCCTGGGAGGATTTTTATGCCTACTCCCTTCGTGAGGGTCGGACTCCGACCTTCGTGGATTTCCAGGCGTTCCTCGAGGATCGCTTCGGAGCTTGATACGACGTGACTGATGCCTTCGAGCGTGTCGTTACTACATGCTGGTCCAACTCTGGTGGCGCTGCCGGCCTGGATCGCCACATACAGGTCTTTCAGGACGCCCGCCTCGTTTGCGACGTGGCGTTCCTCCCCGAGGCTGCCCTKATCGATCGTTTCTTGGCCAGCCTTCCGCTCGAGTACCGCTCCGAGCTATGGCGGTACGAGTTCACATCGGCCCCACAGGCTTACGAGGCCTCAAGGGACCACCAGCGGATGCGAGCCCGTCTTCACCCCGCCTCCTCCTCCCAGCCCCAGCGCACGGGCTACGCCTCCTTCTCCTCTCACGGCACATCCCAGCGCCGTTCCCCTTTCCGCGGTCGCCCCCGCCGCTCCACGCAGCAGGGCCGCCACTTCTCGCGCCGCTTCAGCGCGTTGGAGTATAATGAGCAGGACGCTGTTGCCCCACTGTCACCTGAGGGCGACCACAGCGACGACCTCGATCTCTGCGAGGCCGTCCACTATCACTTAGAGGACTCTACCCTCCCTGCAGCTGAGCGCCTTCAGCTCGCGCTCTCCGCCCTCTCTCGGGCACGCAGCCGCCCCGGTCACGCTGGCTCGTCGCCCCCTGAGGTCCCTCAGGAGGACCTCCCTCAGGGCTTCGTCCCTCCTCGYGGTGTCCTTTCCSCTRAGGAGCGCGCGSCTATTCTGGGYCRRCGTGGGTGTTTGCGCTGCCGCTTGGACGGTCATACCTCCTCGCGGTGCCCTTACACTACCGCCCTCGACCGCCACTATGCTGACCTTTCTCGTCAGCGTCGTGCTAATCCCCTCCGGCGCCTCACGTCCCTGCGGCGCCTCCTAGCCACGGTGCAGTGTACACCTGCGCCCTCCTCAGTAGTGGGCTTCCCGACATCTCCGTCGCGGTTCGCTCCTCTCGCTACTGGAGTTGAGGTGTCGCAGGACTCGACAGAGTGTACTCAGCCCTCTGTCGCAGTACCGTTTGTGCCTCCGCCGACCACCATCTCCCCTCCTTCCCCGCCGCGACTACCGACGCGTCGAGCCTTTCGCTCAGCCTGTTGCAGCGAGCAGCTTGCTACTCGCGAGGACGTTGTGTCCTCTCTTCTGGACTTGAGCATGCTCTAGGCTCGTCAGGAGCGACTCACCCTCCATGTCGCTGCACTGCGTCGCCTTCTCGCCATCCTCTCTGACCCTGATCGCACCCTCCCGATCATCCCAGTACGACTCGGGATCTCTACGAGGGTAAACTCAGCGTTGTGGGATTCCGGTTCTCAGGGTGACTTCATTCACCCACGCGTGGTGAAGGAAGCCCGCTTACCCACGACAGGGTCTCCGACTCCCATCTCCGTTACCTTAGGGGATGACAAGACCCAGCGCTGCTTCGATCAGACGGTCACCGACCTCCCCTTCTTCCTCACTCTCGAGCCGACTGATCGTTCCCCGGCGTCTCGTCGTCACCGCTCCTCTGCACATTTYGATGTGATGGAGACGGGGTACGACTTCATTCTCGGCACTCCGTGGTCTCGTCCGTTCCGCAGCACCGAGGCCGATTGGGCGACCAACACGATCGTTCTCAAAACGAAGTGTGGACAGACGTATCGCGTACCTTTCATAGGTACCACGACGATACCACGCCCCGATCCTCCTTCCCCGGAGCCTTCAGTTCCCACACCACCCCCCTCTATCAATGTCACCACGCCTCGGCAGTTCGCTCACTTCATTCGACAGGACGACGTCACCTTCTTTATGCTGGACATGACGGATCTCTTACACTATGATCCACCCTGTCCCGACGCCGAGCTCATCCCTCTGGAGCTAGATCCTCCCTCTATCTCCATGGCTCCCATCTCTACTTCCGTCCCTCCGCCGTCCGTCGAGTCCACCCCGCCGTCGGGCGCTGACGTTGACGCTAAGGAGCTCGCACGATATACGGCTGACCTGGAGTCCGGAGTTCGTGACCTCATCCGAGAGTACCACGACGTTTTCCCATCGTCGTTCTCGTACGCCGGCATCCCACCGATGAGTGATGTCAAGCACTCCATTCAGCTTGTGCCTGACTATCGTGTTCACCACCAGGCACCCTACAGACTCTCGATTCCCGAGGCCACCAAACTCAAGCGTCAGCTTGAGGATCTCCTGAGACTGGGTTTCATTAAACCCAGCAACTCCCTGTGGGGTGCACCCGTCCTCTTTGCTCGCAAAGCGGATGGAACTCTCTGTCTCTGCATCGACTATCGCGGTCTCAACCGCTACACGGTTAAGAACAGCTACCCCATGCCTCGTTTCGATGAGTTGTTCGACTGCCTAGCAGGCAACAGCTTCTTTACGAAGATTGATCTTCGTAGCGGTTACCATCAGATCCGCGTCGCTGCAGCCGACCAGCCGAAGACAGCGTTCCGATCGCGCCTCATCCACTACGAGCTTACGGTGATGCCATTCGGCCTCACCAATGCACCCGCCACCTTCCAGAGGGCGATGAACGACATCTTCAGGGACATCCTGGAGCAGTACGTTCTCGTCTACCTCGACGATATCCTGGTCTACAGTCGTACCCTTGAGGAGCACCTCAGACACCTCCGCGACGTCCTTGACCGCTTACGCAGACATGGCTTCTACGCCAAGCTGAGCAAGTGCCGCTTTGCCCAACACACAGTGGATTTCTTAGGACACTACGTGTCTGACTAGGGTCTCCACATGGACGACACGAAGATCACTGCTATTGCGGAGTGGCCCGCCCCCACATCCGCCAAGGAGCTTCACAGCTTCCTAGGCCTGACCAGCTACTATAGTAACTTCATCCGGGGATAC